CCCACCACCGGCCGGACGCCCCCACCACCGGCAGGACGGCCCCACCACCGACAGGACGCCCCCCACCACCGGCAGGACGGCCCCACCACCGGCTGGACGCCCCCACCACCGGCAGGACGCCCCCCACCACCGGCAGGTCGCCACCCACCACCGGCAGGACGCCCCCCACCACCGGCAGGACGCCCCCCACCACCGGCAGGACGCCCCCCACCACCGGCAGGACGCCCCCCACCACCGGCAGGACGGCCCCACCACCGACAGGACGCCCCCACCACCGGCAGGACGCCACCCACCACCGGCAGGACGCCCCCCACCACCGGCAGGACGCCCCCCACCACCGGCAGGACGCCCCCCACCACCGGCAGGACGCCACCCACCACCGGCAGGACGCCCCCCACCACCGGCAGGACGCCCCCCACCACCGGCAGGACGCCCCCCACCACCGGCAGGACGCCCCCCACCACCGACAGGACGCCCCCCACCACCGACAGGACGCCCCCCCACCACCGGCAGGACGCCCCCCACCACCGGCAGGACGCCACCCACCACCGGCAGGACGCCCCCCACCACCGACAGGACGCCCCCCACCACCGGCAGGACGCCCCCCACCACCGGCAGGACGGCCCCACCACCGACAGGACGCCCCCACCACCGGCAGGACGCCCCCCACCACCGGCAGGACGCCCCCCACCACCGGCAGGACGGCCCCACCACCGACAGGACGCCCCCACCACCGACAGGACGCCCCCACCACCGACAGTGACGTTATCAAAGGTATGAATGCTTCAGTGTGGAGGAGACGGCGTCAAACTCTCCCTGGTGGGTTTCTTCACACTCTTTATTTTGCTCAGGTTGTTTATTGTCTCGTGTGGCGGGTGCTGGCGGGTGGTTGTTAGTTGTGGTAATTGGTAGTTGGTTACCTGTCCTCCAGTATACTTGGATTGGACTGTGGCAGTAGTTCTACTCTCCAGCCCCGCCTGGAGCCAGGCTTCACTTGTAATGTCTTGGTCGAACAGGCTTGTTTTTAAAGCGACCCGCTACCTACCTCGTGGCTACCTTGTGGTGGTTCCGGGGATCAAAGGCCCCCACGGCCCGGTCTCCAACCAGGTCTCCCAGTTGGTCGTCTGGTTAACCAAGCTGTTGGACGCTGCTGCTCGTAGCCTGGCGTATGAATCACAGTCTGGTTGATCAGGTATCCTTTGGAGGTGCTTATCCAGGTCTCTCTTGAACACTGTGAGGGGTCGGCCAGTTATGCCCCTTATGTTTAGTGGAAGCGTGTTGAACAGTCTCGGGCCTCTGATGTTGATAGAGTTCTCTCTCAGAGTACCTGTTGCACCTCTGCTTTTCAACCGGGGTATTCTGCACATCCTGCCATGCCTTCTGGTCTCATGTGATGTTATTTCTGTGTGCAGGTTTGGGACCAGTCCCTCTAATATCTTCCAGGTGTAGATTATTATGTATATCTCATACGCCTGTGCTCTAGAGAATACAGATTTAGTACTTTTAATCGGTCCCAATAATTAAGATGACTTATAGGGTTAATTCTAGCGGTAAAGGATCTTTGCAAGTTCTCCAGGTCAGCAACTTCTCCGGCTCTGAATGAGGCTGTTAGAGTGCAACAATACCCGTAGGGTCTGGATATGTGGGTCTGCATGCCCGCATGCCCACATAGTGCAGAGTGCTCACTAAATTTTAAGTCAGATATGACAGTTCTCAGATCCTTTACAAGTTTTTCTTCATGAGTCGGTGTGAGTGTGTGTCTTGTACCCTGCTATTAAGTTCATTTCTACCAGATCTAAGTAGATGGAATTTGTCACTGTTAAACCACGTTATTTTCCGTTGCCCAATGGAAGACTTTATTGATATCGGCTTGTCCTGATTTCCAGGACGCGTGTCTTACTCCACGATTGTCCATCAGTTGTCCCTAGATAGAATCCTTGGTGGGCCAACAGAGACCCAGACACACTTCAAGATGTTACACAACCAAAGATCACATTCACTCCAAACATTTACCACCTCCGGGATACTCATGCCCGTGCCACCTAATGTGGTGGCTTAATCTTCATCAACCATCAATTAATCATCCTTGGTGAATCAATCTTGGTCGTAACGTAGTGCGTACTAATGGCTTTAGATATTATATTTAATAGTTCTATTTAGAAATCCAACATTCTGTTTTTAACTCATTTTGTATACACTTTTACCTGAATAAACATTATTATTATTATTATTATTATTATTATTATTATTATAAATACCTTTGATATCGCTTGCCTTATGTGCTTTTGTTCTCATCTTGGCATCCTTGGTGATATTTAGCGCCTTTTGAATATCCTGCACCATTGGTGGTGCTGCACAGTCTCCCCGGCTTGGTGCCTGCTGATAAGTACTTGTAGTTTTTCAGTGACTTCTATACAAGTAATTTTCACGCTGCTTGTTTAACCCTCTGAAAAGGATGGCACGAAGCTGTGGCGTATTTTTTGCCTATATCTGTACCTACCTATCCAATTACCGTATATACCGGCGCATGACAAAGTTTAGAAAGATATGTTGTGTAAAATCAATTGTAATATTTGTCATCATACATTTCTGAAAGTGAGATCCAAGGGGATTGTAGGTAACACACATGATTTTGTGCATGTAAATACAATATATATATTCGCCTGGTGGTGAACCAAAGACATGAGTTTTACCCGCTGGGCAAATATGCCCTGTGCCTGCGGGCCGCTCCAAGCAACAGCCTGGTGGACCAAGTTATCACAAGTCGGGAGTAGAAGAACTCGCGAAACACTTCAGGTATGCTCCGGGTACGCATTTCTCCGAACTGTCAGTAAAGCGGAGATCTCGCTTCTTCCCAATTTTCCAAGTGGTTGGGCAGCGTTCCGTCACTCGGTCCTGATATCCCGGGTCCATGTCCTCGTATACCGGCTCATTGTCCTCATATTCCGGTTCCTTGCCCTCGTATCCTGGTTCCATGCCTTCATATCTCGGTTCCTTGTCCTCATATCCCGGCTCCATGTCCTCATATCCCGGCTCCATGTCCTCATATCCCGGCTCCATGTCCTCATATCCCGGCTCCATGTCCTCATATCCCGGCTCCATGTCCTCATATCCCGGCTCCATGTCCTCATATCCCGGCTCCATGTCCTCATATCCCGGCTCCATGTCCTCATATCCCGGCTCCATGTCCTCATATCCCGGCTCCATGTCCTCATATCCCGGCTCCATGTCCTCATATCCCGGCTCCATGTCCTCATATCCCGGCTCCATGTCCTCATATCCCGGCTCCATGTCCTCATATCCCGGCTCCATGTCCTCATATCCCGGCTCCATGTCCTCATATACCCATGAAGTGGTATATAGATATCATTATTTAACTCTGCCGCTTTATAAGTTGTTATATAGTACGGGTATTTACTGAAACTGTCAACCATTTGTCATCATCCATTATTTACGTTATTTAATATTCCTAGAGGCAGCCTGTTGCATGAGTCAAATCACGATGGCATCAGAACTAAGGTCTATTTAATATGCTCAAGTATTTTGTAAACTCGTCAAATGATGAGTTTACAAATTCTCACTCAATTTTTTCATCGAAGAAATTTAAACTATGTTACAGTTTCGCGGACTTGTTTGAGCAGAAGTTTGTGGACATTGCTCACCTAAATTTTTTTTAATTTTTGCCTCTTAGGGGGGGCGAGTTTATTGGGCAGCGCCACTCGTCCTGTGAGTGGACACACCGCCATAGCAGCATGCACAACACTCCTCAATAGGAAGAAAACCCGCTGGGTTGTTCATCCTGTCACTTGTACCCAGACACAGCTTGGACTTGCTTAACTGTCTTAAGTGAACAGCTTATCAGACAAGAAGATTAACATTTGTCAACCCTTAACTCTTACGTTATCTTGCTGGTTCAAAATGGGGTCATCTCTTTAAGAATAGTATCTATATTGACAAATAGTGTTTTCCTAACTTAACAATATGTGGCTTATTATTCTATACACATTTTTAATTATTCTTAGATGTCCACACACTCTAAGGTAGTGGTCAAGGTGGTGTCTATCACTCTCACCACAGATTCTGCAACTCCTCTGTTCAACTCTTGTTTCCATTCCGAATCTCCATGGATATTTGTATCCAAGACGAATTCTTGCTATTAGTTCACCCGTGATTAGTATTTAGATGCTAATTTTCGCTCACCTGGTGGAATCTCTGTTAGTATTACGTGACACTTGAGAGGCTTATTCTCAACCATTTCCATGATTGGTTTGATTTCCCCAGGATGATTTGCTAGACTAAAGTAGACATTCACCATATTCCTTGGGTGCTGGGAAGTTCCACTCGCCCACATGTTGTTGTTATAGATTCTACTCGGAACAAGTTCCAAGTAGCACGGGCTATGGTGAGCCCGTAACTTACCTGGCACAAGAGCGGGGCAAGTAGCACGGGCTATGGTGAGTCCGTAGAGGACTTACCTGGCGCAGGAGCTGTGCTCCACCCCTGCCCCACAGTCTTGTGGCCTCTTAAATACATCACCAATCCTTCGAAGGGACTGTTTTGGCTGTGTAAGTGGGTGCAGCAACCCCTGTCCTCTCAACTGATGGATGGTTGTATACGTTATGGTAACCAACGTTACAAATGTAACCTACTTTGAAAAGTAACGGCTCGCGAATAGTTAGGTGGGTCGCTTGGGCTCGTACGTTTGTGGTTTAGTTAGGAGGTTGGATTGTTTACGTAGTGGCGGAACAAGCGAATGGGCTGAATTTAAACGGTTGTCACCACAAATAGGTCACAGGTGGAGCTTGGCGCGCACTTCCGCTGCCCGCCACATACCACACGACTCCTTGCCCTCGGCCGCCCCACCATGAGGCTTCCCTGAGTTTTGATTTGTCACACAAATCTCTATAATCCCATTGGATCACGCACGTCAGTTGTGGGCGCGCACCTCACTCTCGCAGTTTTGGTGTTAACCACTTCGGGAATTGCACTTCACAAAGACTATGATTCTCACAGATTCTCTTGTTTGTGAAGACTATGACAGTCTTCACAAAGACTGTCATGATTCTCAACAGCTAAGTTCTATATCATTGTTCCGCATCACTGGCAGCTTCCTGAATGATCTCACGCATTACCAGTATGATACAGGCAGCCGTACATACACTTGACACTCGGCTACAGTAATACCACTTGACAATCATGTGTAACACAGGTGGAGATGCTTGGAGAACACCTGCAGAGTAACAGGACATGGAAGGGCTCGGTATGTGGTGTTCCTGGAGGTGAGTGATGTACAAGGTTGAAAAGAGAGGCGAGAGGAACAATACCGAAGGAAACTGGAGGAACTCATCAGGGCTGTTGGAAGGAATAACTCTGGGATTAGACACAGCATCAAACCCATCTTCGGAGGAATACACAGATATATTTACATCAGCTTATTTTAAGCTGGAGAATATTAGAACACTTTCCAAAATGCCATATACAACATTTGTTCAACAAATGCTTACCTAGCAGTGACTAATCACTAGACCATTACCTTGAAGTGATTTCGGGACTTAGCGACCCCGCGGCCCGGTCGTCGACCAGGCCTCCTCGCTGCTGGACTGGTCAACCAGGCTGTTGGACGCGGCTGCTCGCAGCCTGACACAGCCTGGCTGATCAGGTATCCTAATATTAATTAAGTTACGACTTCGTAACTTACCATAAAGTACCAACATGGATTTCCTTCTGAAAAAGCAAAAAACGAAGAGAGTGAAAAGAGGCTTCCTCCAAGACTGGTCCTAAAATTATGGGCAATGAACTTCAGAACTATATTAAAGCAGCTGAAACTGTTTTCCTACTGGAATAAAAATGAAAATTGAAGGAACATGACCCGATATTGAAGAACATGAATATTTTGTATTCAGGGATATTCATCGATATCCCTGAATACCAATATTCATGGATATTGTGCAGCTACCCTAGACGACATGAAGGGGAGTGATGCTAAAAATCCCCATCACACAGGATGGTTAGTCATACATGGTCATGTGATCAGAAACCAGCACTGTCAGGTTTTGGGCTCATTAAGAGGGTATCCTTAAGAACAAGAGAGGTAATAAAGTGATTGCAAAGCTCCAGGTACCTCATACCGGCAGATCTGAAGGGTTTAATAAATGGGCAGTCAGTAACATAGTTTGCCAACCTACCTAATCATATTAACCCACCCCGACTCATCAACCCACCCCACCCAAACACAGCCTAACCAAACAATGTACTGTATGCGGGTTTAACAATTATAAAACGTGCTGTGCCGAAACATGTGCACAAGATTTGACCGCTCCCCATATGGATGACTGGTAGTTTTCACCCAGGGCCATCCCTAGTGGATGCTGGTGGTGGGAGGGTGGCAGGAGGAGGCTCAGCTGTGTGGCAGGGTGGGCGTTGGCACCAAAGTTATGTACAACATCATGATGGGCGTTGTCTTAGCTTTTTCTCTTGGGCCTTCCGTCGCCAGATGACTGATGACGGGGGGGGGGGGGGGGCTCCTTCCCGGAAAGCCTGCTGTGCACCCTACTCGTGTGTGTGTGTGTGTGTGTATTATACACACACACACACACTATTATTATATATATATATATATATATATATATATATATATATATATATATATATATATATATATATATATATATATATATATATATATAATAGTGTCATACCTAGTAGCCAGAACGCACTTCTCGGCCTACTATGCAAGGCCCGATTTGCCTAATAGGCCGAGTGATTTTCTTTATTTTCAAAATATTGTTTCCAATTAGTTTATTTGAAATATTGTTATATTCTGTTATGAACATAAATTATTGACTTAGTTATGGTAGTTTAGGTTAGGTTAAGATAGGTTAGGTTAGGTAGGGTTGGTTAAGTTCGGTCATATATCTATATTAGTTTTAGCGCAAATTAAAAGAATTTAACTCATACATAATGAAATGGATAGCTTTATCATTTAATAAGAAAAAAATCGAAAAATGTTTAAATTCAGGAAAACTTGGCTTATTAAGCAAATCAGGCCTTGCATAGTAGGCCAAGTATTGCATTCTGGCTACTAGGTACAACATTAGTATATTTTGAAAATGTAATAAGTTACTACAAAACGCGTTCAAGCGTCGCGTCAGACTAGAAATAAAAATGAATTTTGGAGAACTGATTTTTCAATTACCATCGACAGTGAAAAGAATCATAAGAAATATTGAGAAAATTCGTGTTAGAATTATTAATCTTACCTTTTCAGTCATTTTTAACAACGTGTATATATATATATATATATATATATATATATATATATATATATATATATATATATATATATATATATATATATATATATATATTATTTACTTGGTCAGCGTGGGCTCCAGCTATGGTTCTTTTAGTTTTCAATAACTGAAAAAACATAGAATTTTCTGTTTCCTCCATTTCCATAAGATGAAGAAACGACAACGTTTCGGTCAGCCCTGGACCACTATGAAGTCGTGTGTAGTGTTAATTCGTTCTCGTGCTGTATCTGGCCTCCTCTTCAAGGTAAAATTTGTGTTGGTAGCCTTCACGGCTACCAACACAAATTCTATGCCGGTGAAATATGAGTAGGAAGAATACAATCCTTTTAGACGTGACCTGAAAAGCAGGCAGCATGGAGGGGCCGGCCTCTACATTATACATACTCATCCGTTCTGAACTGCTTAACACCACATATGTGGTGGAAGTGCTGACAGTCACAGTGTAAATATGTAATTGTGTTGTTGTACTTATATACTGTCCAAATAACTAGATGTAAATCCTCATCATTTCCAAACCAGGTGATGGAAATCGATTGCTGCTTGGAAAGTCTCGTAGCAATGAGACCTGGCAAAATGCATAACATTAACCTCACTATATGAAGAACTACAATAAGTGAACTAAGAGATAACTCGGTAAATATTAAGGGGCCCAAGGCTATTCAACACAGTGAACATAAAGACCTTTACTAACAGACATGAAGCTGTGTTCAAGAAGGAAGCTTATAACACCTCCAAAGGGTATCTAATCAGAATGTGACTCCCATGTCTGACTGCAAGCAGCAGCGACCAACAGTCAGGTTGATCAGAGTATCAGCCACGAGGCATCAGCAACTTGTCGGAGGCTACACCAAGATGGCCTCAAGGGAGACGTACCGCGTGTAGACCCCAACGGTCCATGCAGCTAAATGGCCTAATACAAAAACAAAGAGCAGTCTTCTTGTGTTACTTCTACTACTACTACTACTTAGATTTTGAATTTGTAACGATGTCGTCTTTAATTGTGCCGCGGCATGCTTTCCCTCACCCCCTTTAGGAAGGTGCATGTAATATACGCGGGTAGAATGCCACGACCTTATGTCGTGTATGTGTTGCACCTAGTTGTGCTTGCGGGGGTTGAGCTCTGGCTCATTGGTCCCGCCTCTCAACTGTCAATCAACTGGTGTGCAGGTTCCTGAGCCTATTGGGCTCTATCATATCTACATTTGAAACTGTGTATGGAGTCACCCTCCACCACATCACTGCCTAATGCATTCCATTTGTCTACTACTCTGACACTGAAACAATTCTTTCTAACGTCTCTATGGCTCATTTGGGCACTCAATTTCCACCTGTGTCCCCTAGTGAGTGTGCCCCTTGTGTTAAAAAGTCTGTCTTTATCTACCCTATCAATTCCTCTGAGAATCTTCTATGTGGTGATCATGTCTCGTCTAACTCTTCTGTCTCCCAGTATCGTGAGGTTTAATTCCCGTAGTCTCTCCTCGTAGCTCATAACCCTTAGTTCGGGTACTAGTCTGGTGGCAAACCTTTGAACCTTTTCCAGGTAATCTTATGCTTGACTAGATATGGACTCCATGCTGGAGTCGCATACTCCAGGATTAGTCTGACATATGTGGTATATAATGTTCTGAATGATTCCTTACACAAGTTTCTAAAGGCCGTTCTTATGTTAGCCAACCTTGCATATGCCACTGATGTTATCCTCTTGATATGAGCTTCAGGGGATAGGTCTGGCGTGATATGAACCCCCAGGTCTCTCTCTCTCTCTCTCTCTCTCTCTCTCTCTCTCTCTCTCTCTCTCTCTCTCTCTCTCTCTCTCTCTCTCTCTCTCTCTCTCTCTCTCTCTCTCTCTCTCTCTCTCTGTGTGTGTGTGTTTACTAGTTGTGTTTTTGCGGGGGTTGAGCTTTGCTCTTTCGGCCCGCCTCTCAACTGTCAATCAACTGTTTACTAACTAACTACTAACTACTTTTTTTTCCCCCACACCACACACACACACACCCCAGGAAGCAGCCCGTGACAGCTGACTAACTCCCAGGTACCTATTTACTGCTAGGTAACAGGGGCACTTAGGGTGAAAGAAACTTTGCCCATTTGTTTCTGCCTCGTGCGGGAATCGAACCCGCGCCACAGAATTACGAGTCCTGCGCGCTATCCACCAGGCTACGAGGCCCCCCTCGGTGTGTGTGTGTGTGTGTGTGTGTGTATACTTGTTGTTAGGTCTAACGTTTGCTCATAAGGTCCGCTTTTCTGTTATCAGTAGTTGGGTTCAATGACTTTCATCTCCAAGTCTATCCTCTCCATATCACTCTCTTCTCCGTACATATTCTTGCCATCTCTCCTCTCCTCTCCAGGCCTTCTCTCTCCTCGCCGTGCCTCTCCCTCTCCAAACATTGAATCTATTGTCCATGTTGTGGAATGGGACTGTAACAGTGTTTGCTTTTTATATATCTCCTTCCTTCCTGCTAACTTTACTGCCTTGGTCATCCGAGGGTGTGTGTTCTCCCCCCGTCCCTTCCCTTCCCTTCCCTTCCCTTCCCTTCTCTTCTCTTCCCCTTCCCTACCTATCCACTCTTTGTCACTCATTCTCAGCTCTTTTTTTTCAGTTTCTCCCCATCACCATCCTCATTCATTTAGCTATACTTTTCCCTCCTACACTCAGTTCCTTTCATTTCTTCTTCATTTTCATTTTTTTCATATTTTTTTAGGCGTCTTCCAACTCTCTTTAAATTCTGTGAAAAGTCGAGTTGCTTGAGGTCCTGAGGCAGGTGAACTTGAGGTGGAGATGCAACACCTGCGCGCGCGCGCGCGCACACACACACACACACACACACACACACACAC